AAAACTAAAAGTCAATAATAACAGACTCATTTTTATTTTTAAATTTTAGAAGTCGTGAACGACATTATCAATTTCAAATATGTAATATGTAACACTTTCTTTCACTTATGCATAAACCATAATAGAAATCAGATGCCTGTCATGTGGATATTGTCTAGCATTGTTGGAATCCTTAAACACCTTCACTCCCATGCATAATCAGGAGTTATTGAATGTTTTTATTAATTTATTGCATCACATTCACATGTATTCCTTCTTGGGAATTTCACAAAAGATGTGCATATTCAGCTACAAAAATAGTACCATCAAAAGATCAGTATCACAAAAATCAACAATATTAACTTAACCTCACCTTAAAAAAAAACAAATTAAATTACTTAGAATAGTGTGTATGCCATTGTCAATAAACAGTTCAAAGACATTGATAATTACTAGGAGCGGAGTGAGAGATTTAAATTTAGGAATCTAAGTTATATAACTTAACAAGGAAAAATTAAATTTTACGTTTTTAACCCACAGTATACACACACAAAAAAACAATAGGTTAAATAACCATTAATTAAAGTCAATTGAAGATATATAAAGTTGCATCACTTACATGTTAATTTTTATATAACATTTTAATACTAATATAGATAGATGAAATTATGTGATAATATGATATTGATAAGTTTTATAGATTAATAATATGAATGGATGATGTAAGTTAAAGTGGAAAAAAATTATAAATAAAAAAATGTGTTTCATCACAATTAAACTCACAATCTTCACTTTAAATCTTATTATTTAAATCATTATATTATTTTCATTCTTGAATTATAAAATGACATTATATTATATATAACATTAAATGTAAGTTAATTTTTTTTTAATTTCTTAATTAGTGTTAAATCTAATTTAAATTTAATAAAATAAATAATTCATTTTTTATTAAATAAATTATGTAATTTATTATTTAATATTTTATATACGATGAACATAAACATCCAATCCTTTTTATATTTTCATTATTTTTTAATTTCGTTTTTTAATACATCACTTAAGTTATATTATTTATTTTAATATACTAAAGTTTATATTATTTATTGTTTAAAAATGTTAAATATTAAATATATTAATATTGTAAAAAATTATATTATTTATTGTATCGTGGAACTCTTTCTTTTGTTAAATTCAGTAGTATATTTTTTAAATACGCTTTTATTAATCATTATTGTCGAAATTTAACGTGGGTTGTATTAAAAAAAACTTAAATTCATTCTTTAGATAAAATTTCTTTAATAATATGAAATGCGTTAAGAATATTTATCAATCAATTTATGTTTATATTTATTTAATTTTAAGATTACTTTTGATGTCCTCCTTTTCTCCCGACTAGGCATGGCAATCTAACCCGCCCCGTGGGTACCCGCCCAAACCCGCCCTGATTTGGATGAGGAAAACCCGTGTTTATCGGGTTCGGGTTCGGGTTCGGGTTTTTCCCGATTGATAAAATCGGGGGTGGGAGCGGGGGCTAGGATGTTAATACTCACCCTGCCCCCGCCCCCATACCCGCCCTCGGTCCCGCTCCGCTTAATAATATAATTAAAAAATTATTTATATATATATAAAGAGGCAGGGGCAGTTTAAATTTGCAGGGACGGGGGCGGGGAACGTAAAACCCGCCCCTGCCCCGCCCCGTTGTCATGCCTACTCCTAGGGATGACAATGGGGCCCCATGGGGGCGGGTAATAGTAAACCCGCCCCCACCCCACTGAATGAAAATTGGCCCCATACCCACCTCATATCCGTGCGGGTATTCATTAAGCGGGTATCCATGAATTTCTTGAATACCCACAGATATCTACGGATATCCATGGATATTTATAAAAAATTTTAAGAAATTAAAAAAACTATATTAAAAATAATTTTAAGTTTATATTTTAATGTCATTGAAATATTAAAAATAAAAATTCAATGTTAATTTTAAACTTTTATTTAACGTTAATTCTGTTGAAATAATAATAAAAAATTCAAGATAATCAATAACTTAAAATACATCAATCTCACAAGTAAGTTAAAGTCTCATCACAAAACTACAATAATTCAATCTCATAATTCCAAATGAAAGTAAACAACTTAAAATACATAAATCTTATTAGTCCAATCAAAGTTAGAAAATTAATCAAATTACATCCAACATAAATTTATAACATGCTTAACACATGTCAGTAACTTCATCAACCTCACTTTTGTAAGAAAATAAGATGAGAGAGTGTAGTTTTAAGGTTATGTGGTACAAGGATAATTAGGATATTTAAGAAATAATATTAAACGGGTACCCGCGGGTATGGATATCATCATACCCACCCCCGCCCCATTTATAAACGGGTAAAAAATTATTTGTCCCCATTATCTGCGGTACCCAATTAGCCTATCCATTTATTATTCGTAGCGGATTTTATCCACAAATACCCGTGGGTGCGGGTATTTTTGTCATCCTTACCTACTCCCGACAGAGATGGGTACAGAAAGAATAAATAAATAAAATAAAATAATATATATATATAAGGGTTATATAATAATATCGGTGTAACCTAAGTATTACACTGCTTAATAACTTTATATTAAATATAAAATTTTGTAAATTCAATCGTTAGATTAAAAGTTCTTTATTCTTAGATCATATATACAAAATTTTATATTAATCCAAGATGATTTGATACTTTATTCTTATAAAATAAATTTAATGTAATATATACATTTCAAAATATACTAAAATATACACATTTTGATTACATTTGCATCTCGTTGCAAAGCTACAAGTAAGTGATATAAATTTTTATAGGTTAAAATATTCTTTTTTCAACAACTTCACATATTTTACCTTTTGGTCTCCATATTTAAAATAGATTTTTTTAGTTATTATATTTATTTTTTAAATCCTTTTTAATTTTTTTACAATTTAAGATAACTTTTTTAGTGCATATATTTTATAATCCTTTTAATTTATGTCGTTATTTTTTTTTTTTTGATGTTTGTTTTGTGTGATGTAGTAAAGATCTTCAAATTTGTAAAGATAAAAAAAATGGTGTTTGAATAATAGGCATTGCTAATTGCTAGTGAAGATACAAAAAAAAATATGAACTATCAAAAATATAATTTAAAGTAATTCTAGCAAAAACAAATTTAACATTAGACAAAGAAAGTTAAATTAATACACCTATCATGTCAACGTAAAAGCGATAATGTTAAAAAAAATAATTAACAACAAAAACTAAAAAGATTAAACTATTAATACTAGATTAAAAAATCTATCTTAAATAATAGGACTAAAAAAGATTAAAAAGGATAACTATAAAAATTAAAAATTATTTTAACATAAAAACTAAAAAGTAAAGTAAATGAGAAAAAAAATGTATTTTAACCACTTTTATATTTCCCCTCAACTCATATAATTTTAAATTTTTATTATAAAAGAGAGGATGGTTTTTTTTTCTTATGGAAAATATCTTCAATAAAAATATCCATAGTTCGAAATTATTTCATTTTTAAGTATAAAAATCAATAAAATGAGTTTTTTCTTTCTTCTCAATATAAGTTAAAAAAAATCAAAACCGATATATTTAAATAACTCAATTATCTATTCATAAAATCTTATCGACATATTTAAATAATTTAATTATCTATCAATTATATTATGGATGTGTGCATCTATTCACCTTGAGACAATGAAAGGATGTTTCAAAAGTTAATAAGATATACCAATTCAATAACTAAATTAATGTAAATTCAATAGAAAATTACTTATGTTAGTTTATTATTTTGATAACTATATAAGAGAAAGAGGACAACATTTCAAATGCTAAATTGATAGTTTATTCCAGATATCTAGTTTATTTAATTATGTTATTGAAATTTTACACGATTTTGATATTTATACATTTATCTGATAATAGTAATTCTTATTAATTTTTAATTTATTTATTAAATCGCTCCATTAACGAAGGTCTTGCCACTGTGTATGTGAATATTAGCATTAGTTAACTTTTTATGTAATTATTATTTTGTTTCCTGTGTAAAGGATTTGTCTTATTGTAATATTTTTCAAATGGGATACTTTATTTTAATTTAGAGTGTTACTTATAACACGGCATCAGGCTCTTGTTATTTACGCCAAATCGTCTTTTTAGGGAATAATTAATATTTTTTAGCTACCAGACTGCAATAAGATATGGACAGCTACATGTATGATAAATTTAAATTTAATATATTTGATAACATAAAAGAATTTATACTTGCGAAGTTCAACATGTCATATAACATTTAAAATAAAAATTATTATATTTATCAAACAGGATTTTAATTCAATATCGGACAATAATATAAAAATAAAAAATAAAAAATACACAGCTTTATATCATGCAGAGTTTTGACTGAAAGAAACTAAAAATAGGAGACTGTCACTAATTAATCCATAAATGGTTAAAAAAATTAAATCATAAGAAAAAAAAATAGAAATGTTAATTAATTTCGTATCTTATACCCATTTTCTTACTCTGGAATAAATGATTAAAAAAATGAAAAGAAACCTATTAACAACAAAATAGAGCACAAAAAGTTGCTAAGGCCTTGCCAGATAGAAACTTTTCAGGAATTTTCAATAGTCAAATAGTGTGTGCCGGCCAAAGTTTTGAAAGAACCTATCACGTTCCTCAAACCCACATTGAAATTCCTCAAATAAATCCTAAACAGTAAGCAGATTTCAATCTCCAATATAATACAAAAGAACAAGTTAACCACCCAACATAAAGAAGAGGCATTATCGTCTCCTAGTTGCCTATGCAAACTATATTAAACCTCAATAAAACATCACATCCTCCAAACCAACAGCACACAAACAATTAGAAAATTCCCTCAATTGTCACCACTAGGAAGAGCATCACCACACCATGCCATATTAAATAATTCTTAGGAAAAAACTAATGAAAATTGAAAAAGTTTCTAGTTGATATGTCGTATACTATACTATATACCCTCCTCCTGTTTGGTCAATGATCCAACACTACTAAGCTCTCCAAACCCTTTTCAATCTTTGCTCGATATCTCTCACAACACTCCCTTAATTCCATTACAATGATCATGGAACCAAACTCAACATCAGATCACACTCTGGACTGGTTTGAAGGTCCTGTTTCTTTTTTTCCACTTCCACCATTCTTGGATGATCCATATAACTCCAGTGACATCCAAGAGTATCAGTTGTGGGATGAAGACATAACCAGCCACTACCAAACTGATGCCAACACCAATTCCCCTAATGCCACCAACATTGATACTAGCACACCCCTTGAGCCTTGTGGCTCCAACAACCTACCACTTTCTGACTTGGCCAAGAAAAGAAGTGCCACTGATGAGTCAAGTCTCAAACCATCACAAAGCCACAAGCATAAGAAAATCAAGAGCCGTCCAATGAATAATGAAGCAGAAAATGGAGAAGCAGTTAGAAAATCTGGTGGCAACAAGAAAGGTGGAGCAAAGGGTGTAGGAAACAACTGCAACAACAAGGAAGGTCGGTGGGCTGAACAGTTGCTTAACCCTTGTGCTGCAGCCATAACTGGTGGAAACGTGAACCGTGTTCAACACCTCTTGTATGTCCTCCATGAGCTAGCATCACCTACTGGTGATGCTAACCACAGGCTCGCAGCACATGGCCTTAAAGCACTGACACAACATCTATCATCTTCTACTACATCTGTTACCACTTCAGGGTCCATAACTTTTGCATCAACTGAGCCTAGGTTCTTCCAAAAGTCACTACTCAAGTTCTATGAGGTTAGCCCGTGGTTTTCCTTTCCTAACAACATAGCAAATGCTTCCATCCTTCAAGTTCTTGGTGAAGACCCAAATAACTCACGCACCCTTCACATCCTTGAAATTGGAGTATCTCATGGCATGCAATGGCCAACGCTTCTAGAGGCCTTGAGTCGCAGACCTGGTGGACCTCCTCCACTGGTTCGCCTCACTGTGGTCACTGCTTCCTCCACTGAAAATAATGATCAAAATTACATTGACACACCATTTTCTATTGGTCCTCCTGGTGATAACTTCTCTTCTAGCCTACTTGGTTTTGCTCAGTTCATGAACGTTAACTTGCAGATAAACAGGCTTGATAATTGTTCATTACAGACACTGAATGCTCAAAGTGTTGACACCTCCCCGGATGAGATCTTTGTTGTGTGTGCACAGTTTAGATTGCATCAGTTAAATCACCACACTCCTGATGAGAGGAGTGAGTTTCTGAAAGTGTTGAGGAACATGGAGCCCAAAGGGGTGATACTAAGTGACAACAACATGGAATGTTGTTGCAATTGTTGTGGGGATTTTGCCACTGGATTCTCTCGGAGAGTCGAGTACTTGTGGAGATTTTTGGACTCAACAAGTGCGGCGTTCAAGGGTCGTGAGAGTGATGAAAGGAGGGTGATGGAAGGTGAGGCTGCGAAGGCTTTGACAAACCTTCGTGCGATGAATGAAGGGAAGGAAAAATGGTGCGCGAGAATGAAGGAAGTGGGGTTCGTTGGGGAAGTATTTGGAGAGGATGCAATAGATGGCGGAAGAGCTTTGTTGAGGAAGTATGATAATAATTGGGAGATGAAAGTGGAAGATGAGAATGCTAGTGTGGGACTATGGTGGAAAGGTCAACCTGTTTCTTTCTGTACTTTGTGGAAGCTTGATGGGAATGATCAGAGTTCAACATTCACATCATGATGAACCATAACTTGGAGTACAATGTAAGTTTTAGTGAGGGAGGGGTTGTCCATTGAAGGTTAACAGTAAACAAGTTTGAGAGGGGAAAGGTAGCGTAGGTATTCAAAGTTCTTAAAACTTTTTCACTGCCAAATTTCTCCTCCATGTCAAATTCTTGATTATAGAACTTTTTGTAACATAAAGAGCGATGCAAATTATTTCGTCTGTTGTGTGCTTTGAAATGATTGGTAACTGTTAAGAAGATAGTGCTGTTTCAGAGTTTAGCATCTCTTATACTTCAGTTACACGTCTTAAGTTAGATCTTGATCATTAGCAACACACATTGCACTTGGAGCATATCAATTTGCACACTTTTATATGAACTTGAAAAGGCAGATCTTGAACCTTCTCTTCAGGCAGAACTAAACATGTGTCTTCAACCGCAAAAGATAAAAGTTAAGGACTTCTTTAATATGAAAAAATATTTTATTTTCAATTTCTATACTCACTTTTAATTATAAATATATCATCTTATTTCTATTTTGTTTTCAAAATTATACTAGATAATAAAAATAAAGCGACATTTTTATAACCAGAAGTTAAAAACTAAAAAAATTCTCAAATCAATGAAAACCCTAACATCTGCCAATGAAAGAGCAAAAGTCTCACTAAACAAACCACAGGCCGACTGCATACCTACCCGCTTCAGTTTTTAATTTTTACCGTAGGATTTACAAGCGTATTCCTGTGATTACGCGTAACTTTAAGCTGTAAGTTATATACAAGAGTAATAGTAAAAATACCACCTGCATAAGAACATTTCGGAGTTCATTCTATACGTTTGGCGAATTTTTTATGTACACTGCAACTAAGAAAATTGGAAAATCCTGGAAGGTTTCCCCCAAAAAAACCTGACAATGAAAAGTTAGGAGGCTACGAATTAACCTCGACCAACCTATTTAAGCCATATTCAAATATCTACCCCTGATAAAAGTAATATGATCACAGGGAAAGATTTCCCTAAAACTCCGTAGTCCAGATTTTATCTAAATAAAAGGCAAACATCCTTCTCATTAGCAGGCACAAAAGTTTCCTGCCCCAATGAACAGAACAATCAGCCTGAGTTTGTTCAAGATTCATAAATACGCACTGAATCTCGAATCTCCTGACGACAAACAGGACACTTGGGTGCCACTTCACGTTCAACTGATATGGCACAGCCTTGGCAACACACAAGATGACCACAGGGGATGAAGACAGAACGCCTTCTCCTCATTAGGCATATAACACATAATTGTCCATCTGGAACATCTTCAATCTCCTCATCCACCTGAGGTTCAACATCTCTCACCGCTTGCCTCTGTTGCTGGAGCTGCCTGTGTTGCTTCCACTGTTTCCACTTATTCCAGTTCCTGAAAACGAGCAACGTTTAATTGCCTTCAATTCAACTCCAACGACCCAAAATTATCAACAAGATAGTAAATGGACAGGTTAGCCAAACCAGCGTACCTCACAACGGCATAACTAAGGATCCCAACTGACATTGAACCAAGAGCAATACCACCCCAAAACAGTACTTTCGTTTTGATGGAAAGATCTACTATCATCTGATCTTTACTCAAGTCAGACCTACAAGAGATGACAATTGCCATAAGCAGCACTTCTACACGCTGATTCACTGAATCATCTATTAATACTAGGAGAAAAGGTGTCACTTCGTGCCTCTCTTTTAAAAATATAAAAAAAAATTATAAAAAATAATATATATATATATATATATATATATATATATATATAAAATAGGAAGTGGTTAATTGAAGGGTATTGGTGGTTATGGGGTGGAATTTACAAGAAAGAATAAAAAATTGTGATTTAGGAATTATAGTTATAAGGGTAAAATTAGACAAAAAAAATGTGTACACGAAAAAGTCCAATCCCCTGTATTATAGTTATAGATTATAGATTTACAAAGATATAGACTTATCATAGGATCCTTTATCAAAAGCAATTTATACTTCACAAAACAGAACCTCAAGCTGACATTAAAATTCAAGCAAGTTTGATTAAAACCACATATCCTTAGATCCCAACTCTCCATTCATGGTCACCAATGTAAATTATAACATCAAAATAGCCATAATCATTCTACCAGTAAACTGATGTTTCCCAATGAATCTATCCCTACTGGAAAGTGGACACTAAAGGTATAGAAAAGGAATAGAATTATTATGCTACCATCAAAATTCAAATGAAAAAAATTCCCACAGCTAAACCAAGGGTTATAAAAATACAAAATGGTCTGGAATTTATCTTGATTTAACAATATGATAATTAATTTCAACAAAAAGAAACTTACAGAAAATATGGTAGATCTTTGCATGACTTAATTTCAGCAATTCCATTTTTTAAGCTGCAAACTCCAACAGCAGTAATATCCTTCCCCAAAGGAAGAATTTTCTCTTCATCTAGTAGTCCAACCTGCAGAAAAGAAACATCATATGATAACATTTCAGCAAATGTGATATACCAGAGATCTACAATTTCACAAGAGACAGCCACAGATGCAAAACTCCAAAATAAATTAATTGAAGAGTGAAATAGTACAATCATTTAGCTCGAACATATCTCAACAATATGCTATCCACTTCAGATAAGCAAATGAGAATATCAACTCACCGGATATTCATGCCCAAAAAGTGCTTGCAAGAAAGTATAAGGAGAAGCATTTATTGGTTGCAATTTATGATAAACTGTTGTCAGAGGCAACGGATGTCTTGAGCCATCCATGTTGACAACAACATATTCACTATTTGGTCTCTGTCCAATATCGATAAGAACAAAAGGCACCTACAACAAAAATATTGTTAGAATATCTAAAAAATAAGATCATACTATCATTATTGTATCTTAAAATATTTTAGAGTATCTAACATAATCCTTTCTGACAGAATAGCCAATAGCAAATAAAGACTAAAGATGAATAAACAAAAGAAAAAGCAAAGACATTTCATAATCCTTTCAGACAGAATAGCCAATAGCAAATTATAGTGCCACATCACACTGTGGAAGAGCATCACAGCTACTGACTGCTATTTTCTTAACTCTTGTAATTTAAATTTTCAATCTAAAACAATTGGACAATTTAATATATTAAAAAACATTGCTATCCTCATTTTCTGGGGGCGGTGGTGGCAACAGGGAATTAACATTACTATCTCTTTACAACTCCAACCTTAGTATTGCAGCTCAAAAACAGAGGTGGTGAAACAGGGCATTTGTTAACTGCCGCAAACAACTTTTATAAATTAAAAATAACTATTCGTTATGGTATGCGTCTTTGAGATGTGACTTACTGTATTTATGGTGAAATAACTTATGTTTTGAGTACTTTTTTAGTATTGAGTTTCTACTATGTAAATTAAAAGTTGTTTGCATTGTATAAGTATTAACTATTAACTATCTTCAGTATAGTGACCACTCCACAATCTGCTATTACATGATTTTGTAGTTATTACTCTGCCATCCAGGATAAACTACTATTCTCTCAAATAACCATAAAAAAATAAAAATAAAAAAAGGTATAACTTGGTGATCAAAAATCACCGTTAGCAAAGCATAATAACGTGTTTGGATGGAGAATTTAAATGGAGTAATTCATTTATTTGAAGAATTTCAAATTCTTTGAGGTGAAATACCTTGTTTGGATGAAGAATTTATAAGGAATTTGAAATTCAAGCATTTGTGAAATTCTTTGAAATAGTAGAATTTCAAACTCTCCCAAAAAAGTAAGAATTTGAAATTCCTCATATTTTTTCTTCTTCTTATTTTACTTATATATTTTATCTTATCTCTTATCTCTTCATGTTTTTAATTATTAAATATTCAAAAATATTTTTAAGATTATTAAATATTATATAATATTAATTTTTTAAAATTATTAAATATTTAAAAATTTGCTAATATTTATTTTTATAAAATTTAATTTAAAAATTCTCAACATATAAATATATTTTTAAAATCAATTTTACAATGGTGAGATCAAATTATCATATCCAACCTAATAATTTAAAATTTGATAAATTTGAATTGACTTATCCAAACAAAATATTTTAAGAATGATAGAAAATGAAATCAAAGTAATTCAAATACCAAGAATTTAAAATTCCTTGAATTTGTAAAATTCTTCATCCAAACACACCATAAGCTTAAATAGGCAGCTATCTACAAGAAATACAACTTTAAGTCCCTCCAACACTATTAATTAGCTCACCTTCTAGCCATTGCAACTGAAAGTAGATCCTGTTCAAAACGCAGGGCTGTTTTTACTAACCTAGGTTATGCTCAGATGAAGCATATCCATGGAGCACAATTATAATTATTGAAACTAGTGGAAAAGAGGCACCCCTGCCTCTATTTTTTTTTATAAAAAAAATACAATATATAATTACTTATAAGTGTATGAGAAGTGTGATATATAGGAGGAAGAAAAAAAAAACTAAATAAAAAATAAATAAAAGAGGTAGTTATTGTTACAGATATTGTGAATATATTACAGATATTGTGGATACATATATTATGGTTATTATCCTCACTATCAATTAGGGATATGATTAGATTAATTTCCATAATATAAGAGATTAGTATCTCTATCATTTATTGTATTCACTCTATAAATAAGATTGGTGTGTGTACAACAAGACACACAATTCTTGAATCACAATATGGTATCTAGAGCTTAGGTTCTTTTCTTTTAGAATATATTTTTTCTCTCTTCTTGCAAAGGCCCTCGCTGCCACCTCC